GTTTATATTTGAGAAGATGTAAGAAAAGGGAGAAAATACCTTTTAAAAGAGGGAGGCTCTCATTTAACAAAAACACACAGAAGCTTTGCATGAGGAGCAATGAAATGTTTACCCATGTCAGACTACCCGAATATGTTATGAATGAGAAAGTCACATGTGAATTATGGCCATCTTAAGATCAAGATGTTCCGATGTGCTATATGTTTAGTCCAGCCTGGACATGCCTAAGCAGTTCAGATGAGATCAGATGAAACCAATTACAGCTTTGAAAATTAAAGATGTTTTTGTGCAATATGACTTTTATCGACAATGACTGCCTTTATTTAATATTATTTACACTTGCTGATACAGATGGTGATAATTTGCAACAGGTTAAGCAGCATCTAAAAGGAAAGATAAGCAGTACTTGATTCCTTGTATCCTTTGAAATATTTCTATGGCTTTTAGGGTCGATTTTCCATCTTTATTCATCTATATTGGACTTTGTTTTTCTTTCAGAGATGTGTTGTCTTTCCAATTCTTTTCATTAATAAAAAAAACCTATTTTATTTTCTCTATTTAACATTCCCAAAAGATTTATTCCGACAGCTGCAACAATTAATTGAAATACTCTTCTTACACATTAAAATCCAGTTTGCATATGGCTATCAAGTGGATAAACAGATGTGCTAATGGCAAAAATGACAAAATAGAAAGTAACACTAGTCTTGCTTCCCCTGAGTGTAGGGAAAGTGTGGTCTGAGTGTAAATAAGAGCTGTAATCTTATGGAGCTGCCCTAGTTAAATGTCTTTAAATAAAATTGAAATTGCAAGCATATTAAGAGAATCATTTTGAAAACTTTAAATATGTGATCACATACTGGCATATACTGGCATTTTTCAACCTCCCCCATTGCAAATTTTAGTTTTTTTAAATTAAATTCTATTTTTCTGCATAGAGAAATGTGGAAACCTGTAGCTTAGTGGTTAGAGGACTCGCCTCACAAGCAAGAGGACCTGGGTTTAATTCCCAGGCAGGGCGAAATGTTGGGTAAGTTTCCTTACTCCATATGCCTCTGTTCACCTAGGTAAGTAGGAACCTGGTTGTTAGTCGATTGGTGTATTGCTTTTCCGGGGGTAATAATCCCTTAAAAAAATTGTGGTCACTCAATCCACGATTGTTTGTGGGACACTGTAATACGCAATTAGCTGCTGCATTATGCCCGCAAAATATACAGTCAATTCACTTTATATTCTGTATATTCTGTGAAACGCTTTGAGACATTCTGAAGATGTGATAAGGTGCTATATCTAATGCAGGGATTATTATAATTATTAAATGTCAGTGTTAGGGGATGAACAATTTTTCCCTTTGGCACTTAGTTATATGCACTTTCAAGTTTGCCAGTCCATTTGGGGATTGGGGATTTGAAGCTGTATTACAAACATGATTTTGTTAAAGCGGAGGGGGGCACTGATTACAATCTGATAATAAAAGTAAAAATAATAACAATCCTTCCATTTTATGTACAATACCAGTTTACATTTTTATAGCGTTTTTCATGTTTGGAGGACTTCTTAAAGTGCTACATTCCATTTCTTCGACAGAAAAGTGAAAGTCAATAATATCTTTGTTTCCTAACTGCACTAAATACATTGTAAATTGCATGCAACTCATGACTCAGGTTGACAGCTAGATGTGAATTAAAGGCAACACATTGAATGGTAAATAACTGGCAATTTCAGCTAGTAATTCAGTCAAGATTTTCCAATATCATTTACCTTTGAATCTCGAGATTGAATGACAGCTTTTAACTAAATTTCAGCAGGCATTTACTGTTATATAATAAATAACAATTGAGTAAAATAAACACAATGTCTTCTTAGCATTTGAAAGCAATAAGATCAGTGAAGTAGCAAGGCTGATGAGCTGTCACACAGGACCAAGGCTAATACTATTCCTTGCAATGCTCACTCTAAGGCTAAGTGCATCAAGCAACAGGTACTGTATTAAGAGATTGGCTTTGGCAGAGATACACAAGGTTATACAAAGGTAGGCATTATTGAACAGTACAGATTCCAGATGAAAAGCAGACAGTGAAGCTCATTATTATCTGGTGTAAGATAATTTGTGTAACTGCAGGCTCATCTCAGAAGACAGGATGCTTTGATGAGGCTGGAGCAACTCAACCCTATCATTCATTCACAGGTCCATTAGAGATCATGCCTGGAGAGTATTGTAGGAAAGTAAAGCACTTTCACGATAGAAAACAAATTTGCTAATCATTTTTCTTGTTTGGGGAGCGGTATGAATTTTGAAAATATATTTTAAATATATTGATTGACTGATTGGATAAGGGAATTTATTTTGTTCAATGATACCAGAGGGAAAAATACTCAGGAGATACAAATTTTTACAAAACCTTAAAAAAGACTTTCAACACCTTTCAGTAAAAGTCTGGTTTCCATCCAAACATTCCACAGGGCTGCTCCCATGTAATCAGTTTCACATTTTCCACTCAATGGTTAGGGCAGGGTTATACTGAGAGTCATCGGCAATGTTTTTGGTAATAGTTTTTAGATGAATTGCTTTGTGCAGCTTCTGTTGAAGCCAGTTTTAATTCAAAGATGCTCATAAGTACTAATTTTGTTTAACGTATAAACATTCAGTGTAGTGTAAACCCCTCCGCGTATTTTGTTTTATTTAAATCCACTTTGAAATAAAACTGCTGATTTGCGTTTTCCGAAACTTCGCCTTTAAGCTGAATTACATCAATAAGAATGTTGCCAGACAACTTGTTCCAGTTTCAAATAAAGTGCATTTATTTAATTCATGACCAGCTTCGCGGTGCTGGGACTACTTGTGCAGATGTGTTAAAAGTGCAGTCACAATATTGACTTGTTTGGGTTTTATGCCAACCCAGTGGCTAGCATGGTACTGCTGAATTGCTATTACATGTTCATGTAAGATCATTCACTCAAGCCTAACTTAGGGTTTGTATACACAGACACAGCCAATTCAGTCTAAACTGCCCATTAAAAAAGGTTAAGCCAGTAATGTCAAAGATCTAAATACTGGAAAGTTTAAAGGAAATTTTCAAGGCGTTTAACCACATCAACAATTTTCAAAACCACAAATTATTTTTTTAAACTTTTTTTGAACCAAGTTCAGGTTCAAATGGAGAGGGGGATGTGACTGAATTTGAATTGTGTCAAAGTGAACCTTGGGTGGCTAACCAGAGTACAGTGGTCACCTCATACACAGGGTACTTGAAACCATCTGATGCACTACATGGTGTGGCATTAGGACCATAGAAATTTACAACACATTCTCTTAATTACCATTTGCTCCCATTTTGCACACTTCAAATCACCAAGCCAGTCAGGAACCTAGGTGTCTTGTACGACCCTCAACTGTCCTTTCTTCCCCACATCCAAGCCATGACCCCCTCTGCCTTCCGTCACCTCCGTAACATCGCCCAACTCCGCCACTACCTCACCCTCAGGCCGCTGAAACTTTTGTTCATGCCTTCATCACCTCCAGGCTCGACTATGCAAATGCCCTGCTTGTCGGCCTTCCCAACTCCTCCCTCCACAGGCTGCAGATAATCCAGAACTCTGCAGCCCGTGTTCTTTCCCGCACCAAACTCCGTGACCCCATCTCTCCCATTCTCGTGCGACTCCATTGGCTCCCTATCCTTCAGAGGATCCTATTCAAAATCCTGGTCTTCACCTACAAAGCCCTAAATGGTCTCGCCCCACACTACCTCAGCGACCTCCTAACCCCCTACCAACCACCTGTTCCCTCCGCTCAGCCGGCTCTGGCCTGCTCCACGACCCCCGACCTACCCGCCCCACCATTGGCGGGAGAGCCTTCAGCCACTCTGCCCCCAACCTCTGGAACTCCATCCCCCAATCACTCCGCCTCACCCTCTCCTTAGCCTCCTTCAAGTCACACCTCAAAACCCTCCTCTTCGATCATGCCATCGGCCACCCCCCCTTCCCCTTCCCCTCCGCTCCCTTCTCCCCCCTGACCCCAGCTTGGGTCTGAAATGCTGTACACTGTCCAGCGCCTTAAATTGATGCCCTGAAGTCACTGTCTCAACGGCCAGTGGAAATAATTTCTCCCTATCTCCTTTATCAAAACCTCTCATAATTTTAAAGACCCTGTCAAGTCAAGTCACCCTGCACGAGCCAGCATTATTTGTAACATCACATTTCCACAGCATATCAGGAAACTGGCTATATAACGTATTCTTTTTACACTTCATAGCTGCCAGTTGCCAAAGAGTATAAGGGCAGAGTCAGTCTTGAATAAAGAATGCTGGCTCTAATTAAGTAATAGGAACAAGCTTACAGTGTATCCTAACACATCCTTTGTGCTTATTAGCGTAATAATAATCAAACGCTCTGAGAAACTACCAGGTGTGGAGGATGCTATATGCATGCAAGTTGTTGTTCTTCAGACAATCTCCATTCTATGCCTTCTGTTACTCGCTTGCCAATAGTGGGAAATTCTCTCTGTATTTACCCATCATAAGTATTCATGATTTTGAAAATCTCCATTAAATCCCCATTAACCATTTGACAAGGATCTTCTACCCACAGAGTTGAAAGACTGCAGCAGGTTTCCTATACTGAAGATCCAGTGCCTTGGGATGTCCTCCCGACATGAAAGGCACTATACAAATGTTATTTTGTATTGTATCTTCAGTGAATGGTGGAATCTGCTGGATTCTGCAGTGGCAAAGGATGGTCTAATTAACTTTCCACTCATATGTGTTTTTTCATCCAGATTGAAAATAAAATAGGCTATGAAAGTGAAGAATTTTCTACCTTCTTTAAGTAATGGAAATAATGCTTACATTTGATACAGCACCTTTCATACCAGGAGGATGTCTCAAAGTCCTTCACAGGTTGTACTAAAAAGAGTCGTGACTGTGTTTTTGTGTGGGGAATGGCAATAACTGAAATGGTTACCTCTATTTGTAAGCTAAATGATCACTTAAGGTCCACATCAATTTTCTTTTTAGCTTTTATTGTAATGTATAAAACCAAAGATGAAGCTTATACTCACAGACTACATCCATTTGACAAAGTACATTGGAATCAGAACTAGAATTCACAATACCTCATTAAATTTCTCCAGATTTAGGCAATTTCTAGCAACTAGTACAGTAGATGCATCAAATTAGTAGATCAAGATTTTTTCTATCAGTAGTAAAATATCCCTTCAATAGAATTGTCTCTCAGAATTATTCACCAAATATTTAACACCAGTTTTAAGTTAAATATTAACATTTGTAATGTTTTTAATGTTTTGCTTGACAATTCATTTCTCTTTCTTTTGATGCTGCTGTCTCAAATTAATCTATTGCTGCTTTAAGCCTTTGCCCGTTACCTTGAAAGTGTCACGACATGCATGTAAATGATAAAAAACATCAGATTCCCTCATACAATAGGTGTCAAGCCGGGTTTCAAGAGCAATGAAAGGGATGCAGCAACAATACTAACACCAAACTGATATTTTACTTTTTATGTCACAAAGCGAACAGAATTAACAATTCCACTTCCCTTCATCCTCCCCAATTATAACCGACTGTAAAGAGCTAACTCTAATTTTATAGAAGTGATGCACACCTTTGTATCATACACCAGCTTATTTTGATGTCCCAATAGATACTCTGATCTCTTGTCACATCTTATTACAGTTGATGCCAATGAATTGAAACATGGATAAAAGAGAACAGTTTATCAGGTACATTTTCTCAGGGAACAACTTGTTTCCAGTGTATTTATTTGAATAAGTGGTAAGGTTATGCTGAGGGGAGGGGTCTGGATTTGCTCCCATTTGGCAAACATTTTTTTCTTTGATTACAGACATAATTGTGCAAATCACAACAAAGTGCATCATCTCGCTTGCCACTAGTGTGTGACCTCATTGTGACCAACGTGACAATCAAAAGTTTTACAAACACGCTTCACGAGGACAGTGTTCTTTTACCAAGGATAATCTGTTCAACAGAACGAGTTTTACTTCCATCACAGAGTGACAACCAGACTGGGATTGTACTTTAACCGATCAATGCTAATCTTACAATCAACACCTCTAAAGGAGACATAATAAAAACAAATGTATAACATTATGATAGACATTTAAAAAAAACAGTCATTATAGCTGATTCTAATGCACTTCAACAGTACAAAAACATCTCTCATGGAGGTAATGCACAGTAACTGCACTAGAGACAAAACATGTGTTGCTTGCAAAGGATTTTTGTTTTCTTTACAGGTTGAGGTAAAGATTCTTGCGTGCTTTATTCCGTTCTCGGCTCACTGGGCTTCTGCACGAGGCGGTCAGGGGGTCTTGGATAATAACCTGTAGATCTGGGTTTATCTGGACAGAACCTGGGGAATTTGTAGTCAAATGGCAGATCTGCAAAGCAAAGACAGCAAGATGAAGCACCTCGGGCTAATTTGATAGGAACCCTCCCTCCATTGTCATTAGTTTGTGTGGACAATGAAACACCCAGGCTCAAGATCATTATATCTTGATTTGTCTCACCCACTCACTCACTCTTTTCAAACTTGAAGGGGTACTGCACCTCATTTTTCTTTCATTTTTTAAAACAATGATATGGAACTATCATGGGAAAATATGCCAGCAAGGTGACTTATCAGATTCATTAAACCCGAATTGCAAATAGCAATCCTTACATTTGATATAACGCTTTTCACATCAGGAGGATATCTCAAAGTGCTTCACAGGATTTACAGTAAAGTGAAGCGACTATTGTTTCCAGGCATTGCTTCAAGAACTTCTGTATTTCTTTCCATTCTATCACATTGGAATCTTCAACCACACGAATGAGACTTGTCATCGATTCAATACAGCAATCTAATGTTCTGGGTTGTACATCTGACCCCAGCTATTTATGCTGTCGTATGTACAAGATCATCATGAATCTTATGTTTCATGGTGCTGTGTAATGTTGGACATTCCCATCATTTTCGATACTGAAAAACACTCATTGGAAAAAATGCAGGAGAAATAGTGCCTGTTTGCTGGAAAAAGTGCCTTTGCATGTGAACTGTGTACTCTCCAGGGAACTCCAAGTAAATGACACTGAACCACGAGAACTGAACTCTGACCTGAGATTCCTTTGGAATTAAGTAAGAATTTTTGTGGATTGGAGCGATGTATTTGGGTTCTCTAAAAGAGACACAATTTACGATCTTGCGATCTTGCGATCTTGAATTACTATTTTGCAATCTTGAATTACCATTTTTCCACTTCAACTTCACTGAAGCATTTTTTGTCTTGAGCTGTCTTTCAAGACAGTAATACTTAGTGAAAATGTATAAACTGCTTTAGGTAATTGCCTTGCAAATAATATCAAGAGGAACCTCTGTTTGCAGCTCTGGAGATAACCACTGGATGAGCAGATCGAGCTTTGAGATTTTCTGCCAGAAAGTAACATGAGAAGATGCATTCAACTATGCATTAAGCATACTAACTGCCTTTCAGAAATGGGATTTCCCACAGTCTTGTTTCCAAAGAAATTCAATTCCCCACATTGGTGAATAACTTACATTTTGTCTAAACAGAAAGTTAATGCTCTATGGTATGTACAACAGGCAGCCAAGTGATACTTCCTTTCATTGGAAGAAACAAAGAGGTTGATTAAGTTTTACTACAGTAATTTCTTAAGAAAAAAATACATGGATGTTGTTTGTGTTAAAAAAAATGAATGGCAACCAAACTGAACACTGAAAAAGCCTTCCAAGCTTTGGCTCTTTCAACACTACTCGCATTCCAGACAAAAATAGAGCCCAGATCCTTCTTGCATGACAACAGCCACAGTTATATCACCTGGAAGTTTCACTGAGACAATACCCTTTATCAACATGCTCATGTGTAAATACCTTGAGTTAAGTACTGTATAATTATCTGACTGCTGTAATGGACATGACAGAGAGCAACTTTTATCATCGCATCTAGTCAATGCGTCAAATATGTGGTGGGACCAGCCAGTTGTCCAGAATTGGCTCGGATTCCAGGAAAGCTGGTACCACTAATGTACATGCAGTGAAATCTGATGTCAACAATATAATAATTCTTGCATTTGATATTGCACCTTTTCACAGTGTCAAAACATGTCAAAACATTTCACAGGATTTCCTGTAAAGGGACGGTGACTGTATTTGTAACCGAACACTGTGGCTAATGCCCCAGAAAGAGCATGAAGTGAATGACCAATTTTATCTGGGAGATTGTTAGCCAGGATCCCAGAAAAACTCTCTTCCCTTTTCAAACTGCGCCATGAGATCTTTAATGTCAACCTAAACAGTCAGACTGAATAGTTTAACATCTAATTCAAAGGACGGCATCCCTGATGATGCAGCATACCTTCAGCAATGGATGGAGTGTCAGCTTGGATCATGATAATGGTCCACATTACAGTATTTGTGTTAAAAAGCACATCTCATGCATTGAAGAAGTTTCTAATAATAATAGTCCCTGCATTTGATATTGCATCTTATCATGTCTTCGCGGTGTTTCAAAGCACTTCACAGAATACACTGCAAAGTGAATTGACGGTATGTTTTGTGGGCAAAATGCGGCAGCCATTTGCGCACAGCAGTGTCCCACAAACAGTCATGGATTGAGTGACCAAATTATTATTATTTTTTTTTTTTTTTGAAGGGCTTATTAGCCCCCGGAAAAGTGATCCGCCAATCGACGAACAACTGGGTTCCTACTTACTGCTAGGGGAACAGAGGTGTGTGAAATAAGGAAACTTGCTCAATGTTTCGCCCTGGCTGGGAATGAGACGCTTGTGAGATGAGTACTCTAACCACTAAATTCCTCTATATCAAAGTTAGTCATATGTAAAAAGAATCATATGTAACATCGTTTGACATAAACAACAAATCTCGCACTGAAGTTTGGAATCTTAAGTGCTAAGCTAAACCTCTTCCAGCAATTTTGCACTTGCACCCTCTGTGACTCCGTGCCATTCACTCTGGCTGCTGCTAAGATGATCAGCTTGCTCTGCATTTACAACATTACCAATGGTCTCAATAGTCTCAAAATAAATAACAAGAGACCATTGTTAAGTCAGCATGCTATATCTGCTGCCCAGATATACTTACCAACTAGTACAGCTTTCTTTGCACATGCTCATTTTCACACCCTTGGCCAGAGTCCTACTTTTATCTGACTGTGTTCCAATTATTAAAGTGGCTTTTGCAATCACTGAATTTACAAGATTATACTGTTGAGCCAACTATTAATAATAATAATTATAATTGTTAGAATCTAAGAATCAATCTTAGAATCAGAAATTTACAGCACAGAATAAAGTCATTCGGCCATCATATCAGGGCTGGCTCTCTGAAGGAGCTATCCGTTTAGTCCCATTCTTCTGCTTTTTCCACAAACCTTTTTATAATAATAATCCTTTCATTTGATATAGCGCTTTTCACATCTTCTAAATGTCTCAAAGCGCTTCACAAATATACTATAATAATAATAATAATAATAATCCTTGCATTTGATATAGCGCTTTTCACGTCAGGAGGACGTCCCAAAGCGCTTCACAGAACACACACTATAAAGTGATTTGACTGTATATTTGTGGGCAAAACACAGCAGCCAATTGCGCACAGCAGTATCCCACAAACAGTTGTGGATTGAAGTGACCAATTTATTATTGTTTTGGAGGGATTATTATTGGGCGTATGGAGTAAGGAAACTTGCCCAAGGTTTTGCCCTGCCTGGAATTGAACCCAGATGTCTTGCTTGCAAGACGAGTGATCTAACCACTGAGCTACTGGACTCCACTGAGCTGCAGGACTGTCCCTTTCAGATATTTATTTAGTTCCCTCTTAAAATTTAATTTAGATTCCACCTCAACCAAGGTTCCAGCTCAGAGATTCCACACATTAACAATGCTCAGTGTAAACAAATGAAGCTAATCTTTCCCTTTGCTCTTTTGGTAATTACCTTAAATCTGTGACCTTTAGTTGCTGACTCACCAACCAGTGGAAATAATTTCTCCCTGCTTATCTTATCAAAACCCCTCATAATTTTAAAAACCTTGATCAATTATTAATAATAATAATCCTTGCATTTGATATAGCATTATATCAAATGCAAGGATTATTATTATTAATTGATGAAGATTACTATTACAGCAAAAATGTACCGAATGCATTAATTTTTTTTCTAACAAAATCATTTGTTTTAAAAGCCCAAAGCGACTACTATTTTGAATAATGGACCTATAATTCGCACCTGGGCAACCATTCCTTCTGGGCGGTTGGGGGGCGGGGGAGGGGGAGGGGAGCGGTGGGGGAACTTCATAGACAAATTCCTTTACTAATAATTATTCTTGTCATTAGCTTTTAGCATCTTCTAGCTGTGCCTTAATAATTGCACTGTATTTAATCGCTCATTTAAAAATTAATGGAATGTGACTGGTGGGAAGTGGAAAATGGTTTGGAATTGACCAGGGTGTGGGATCCAGTACTAATTGTATCCGATGCATTCCTGACTGCTGTCTGGTGGTGGAGGAATGATACTGTAAACTAGTTATGATTAAAATTAAAATTACTGAATTCAACCATTTCATGTTCTTTCAAAGAGCCAGCGCAGACACGATGGGCCAAATGGTCTTCTGGCCGTAAATACAAAGCAATACAAGAGGGGAAGACGTCTCAAAGTGCTTTACACAGCTGGCTGGCTCCTGAGCCATGGAAGGAGGGAGCTGAAGAGGGGGAGGAGGAGGAGGGGGGAAAAAAGATGACCGAAAATGAGATCAAAGAGGTAACAGCCTAAGGCGAGTTTTGAAAGCAGGGAGGGGAGAGTTGAAACTACTCTGAGATGGCGTTCAAAAGAGAAGGGCAGAATGGTTCAACCACAGTTTGCATTGCAACAGGTTTAAAGGAGCAGTGCATCACTCTTGTAATGATACTATTTGCAAGTGACTGATCTAGTGATGCATTTTAATGGGATTTTGTTATGCTGTACGTTTTGAATAAAGATAGTGCACCTTTCCTTTAAGCATTTTAAAAAAACAGTATTGCTTGATTTCTCAGTTAGCTTTATGACAGCTGTGGTTTTTGATAACATGATAGAAAGATGGAAATCACAAAAACGTTCCGTTAGGCTTGAGAGAACAGTGGATGCATCTGATCAGACTTGCCTAAGCAAGAACAAGGTTTGACTTTTTCATTTTACTAGAACATTTTAAGAATCGCAGAGATACAGAGAATTAATAACAACAAGCTGGAGTACATTGTAATTAACCAAGAAGGGATAGGAAGCAGCACTGAAATTCAATTCTTTGCAAAACTTAAACCTAATAGCTATTTTTCCGCTCAATGTGTAACATTTGAGAAGATGAATAGATATGGAATCTATTACGTTTACCAGGACTGAAGGTTACACTGATAAATGCAGGCGGAAATGATGAAATGCTAATAATTTTAATATTAATAATTTAGATGTTGCAAATTGTTGAGAAGATATTATTAATGACACAGAAATCTTGATTTTTGTTCTAGAGCAGTGGTGGCCAGTTAGGTAGAAGTCCGTGCTTAATTGGTAGTGTGTTTTCAGTTTTTCCTTGAATGAATATTTTTAGATTTATGGTATAAAACAAGAAATATTCAATCAAGAAAATTTATTTTGTTAAATAATAATCCTCGCATTTGATATAGCACCTTATCAAGTCTTTGAGACGTCTCAAAATGCTTCACAGAATATAATGTAAAGTGTAGTGACTGTACTTTGGGGGTGAAACGAGGCAGCTCATTGCGCACAGCAATCCACACACAATTGTGAATTGAGTGACCAAATTATAATTTTTTTTAAGGGATTATTACCCATGGAAATCGATCCGTCAATCGACTAACAACCGGGTTCCTACTTACTGCTAGGTAAACAGAGTACCAATTGGAGCTCACCACTCCCATCTCACTCACTGGAAGGTGATGAGCACTGGGAGTGAGCCCCAGACTAACCAGGCTCTGAGAGACATCACATGATTCTATTTAAGTAGAAAAGAAAGTCAGTGAACAACAGGCTGTCCACAAAGTCCGGTTACCCCCATGTTTTAATCCCTACAGTGCATTGATCAACATTGAAACACGTGGAAGAATGATGATAATTGCATTTAGAAGTTACTTAATCGTATTCAGTACAAGTGTTTAACTATATTTAGACCACCAGAGAATCGGTGTATGTGTGTGAGTGTCTGTGAGTGCCATCATATTCATGGTAGATAATGATCTGGCACCATGTTCGGTGTTTGACATCTTCTGCAACATGGATGGAGAGAGTGATGAGGCAAAATACCTCTCTGACACCTTGTTTCAGCTCCTCTGTAGTGTTGTATCGCTGTTTTGTAACAGGAGGTGAGTAACAGGACTTTGTGGACAGCACGTCCACAAAGATTGGCCACTACGGCTATAGAGGTGAACATACATTTATATTTTTAAGTGATTCAGTATTGAATTCAGGTGGATTGTGGTGAACGAATCTGCATGTTTATCTTGGAAACCAAAGGGGTATAGGGCCCAGTCCCTCATCATTGCTAATACAAGAGTCAAGTACTGAGTAGAGAACAAACAAATCAGAGGAAAGTGCCAAAGGATCCCGAAAGGCAAGTGTACATCTGCTTTCACTGAGAACAGTGGGAACAGTTTGTTCATTTTCTTAGTAAACAAGGGAGCGGCCATGCATTGACCACCTTGGCTAGAATAACATATCTATATCTTGGGACAATTGAAACTAAAACCCAACGTAATCTGAAATTGCATGCAGCAGCACATTCAACAATATAGTTCGAGGCACTTCTTACTTTTAAGAGATTTCTAAATCCTCCTTATCAAATGATTTTCAGTGTATTTATTAGATTATTCTCTCTTAGCTACTGCAATATTTTTATAAGCAATTTTCAAAATTCACTTAAGTACAGTGTATGATTAATTTTATTAGGTTTTACAGAATACGCCCTATGATTAAATGGCCAAGACACAAAGTTTGGTTCTAATAATACAGGTGGGGATTATACTCTTATTAATCACATCACATTCCAGATTACTTTGGGACGTCCTCCCGACGTGAAAGGCGCTCTATAAATGGAATCTTGTTGTTGTTGTTGTAGTTCTCATGCATTCACTGTACGTGCAAATTCACAAATCAAATGTTCTATCTGTCTTGATAACATAGAATTACAGAGAATCTACAACATCGAAACAAACAATTTGGCCTGACTAGACAATGTTTATGCTCCACGTGAGCCTCTACTGATTTTACCCCCTTTCCCTAGCCTCTTCTCATAGCCCTTTTCCCTTCTCTGTCATAAATGCCATATTAAACATGGTGATACTGAATTCAGTTGTCTTTAAATCTGCACATGTTGCTGTGGACAATGCTGTAAGACACTGCCCCATATGAAGGCTGCAATATAAATGCAAGCTGTTGTTGTTGTTGAACATCTGACACAGCGTCGACATCTAAGTTGAATTATTCTTGTGACTCAGCAGTTATTTTATCCATAGCTTCAGAAATGATTTTTAAAGCAACATCCATCATATCATATGGAAACCTGTCCGAATATCCACACTCAAACAATACAAGCCATTAGTTTTTACTTAATGTACTCTTCACTTTTGTGCACATATTGCTGAGAAAAACTATAGGATAACTGGCTTTTTTTTGGCATAAACATTTGTTCTGAGGCTAGCTGCGGAGTTGGTTTTGCAAAGCACTGTGAGACAAGTTGTTGTTGTTTTGCCACAACAGTATTTTGAAGTGCTGCTTTAAGACCAGTTACTGTTCGTTTTCTTCTTACCTGCTATGGTTTGCAGGCTGGGAATAGCAATGGTGCTATAAGTGTTGATGCTGTTGCTACACCACGTGTAGACCTGGGTTTCCCCTTCACCTTCCAAGCCTGGGATGGTATCCACAAAAAACGAACCCCATTGTTCTGACATCACCGGCTGCACCTTCTGCCGCTGACCCTGGAAAAGGCAGAGGATGCACATAAAAGGAATTACAAGAGTCAAAAAAAGGCAGCAGCTGTAGCTCAATACACTTTTTTTGGCCATCCGGGTGTCTGTCACATGTGGAAACCCATCACCATGCATCCCACTTACACATGGAAATTCCAGAGATAGATATTGCTGTCTGGAAAGCTTTCCCATTGCTTATCCAGCCAGGACCACCGAACCCGTTAGGCCTTTGGCTTGCAGCGTTAACAGGAGCTGAGTGGGATGCCACCAGTGAGTGGGGTGCTCTGCCCTTCTAAGTCCTGCTGATGAGTCAGCCTGGCTGTGCTGTCATCAGTGGTGCCCTGGAATAATGTGGATCTACCTGGCTCAGGACCCAGACCACTGAGACCACCACAGAGGCTGGCTCGATTCCGATATTCCATTGCCAGTCACATCAATACTCAGATCACAAGACCATAAAAGAAATTTGGATGAAGGCCCTTCGATTTCATTTGAAAGCCTATTTGTTCTCATCCTTCCAGAATACCTACCCTATCATCTTCCCTTCACAGCATTAAGCTGTGTTTTTTTTAATAAGTGCAGGATCCTGGCCTTAACCACCCTTCCTGGTGATCTGTTCCAGTTAATTACCAATTGATTAAAGACATACTTCCTGATATCTATCCCCAAATTGCTCTTCACAATCACAAACCTGTGAATCCTTGTTCTGCCGTTTCCTCTTGTTTTATTGATGATAATCATAATAATCTTTGCATTTGATATAGTGTCAATCATATCAGGAGGATGTCTCAAAGAACTTCATGGGGTTTGCTGTAAAGTGTAGTCACTATGTGTTTTATAGACGAACGTGGCAGCCAATTTGTGCAAGCAATGTCCCACGAACAGCCATGAAGTCAGTGATCTGTCTGGGTGATTGCAGAAACTGATACAGCCCAGAAGGGAACGTGTAAAGATGGTTGTGGAGCGGTGAACTGAGCACACTGTTTGTCTTGTAAGTTAATATTTGTGATAATAAGCGAGAAATTTGAGGCATAATTCATTAACATTCCTTCGGTGTCCTTCGGAAGAGATTTTAAACTGAAGACTCATCTGCATTTCAGGTTAAATATCTATAGAAGTACTCGAAAAGAGAGCAGAGTTTTTCTCCATGCCCTGGCCAATACCTCAGATGGATACCAATTTCACAGAATTTGTAACCAAGATCTGTGTGTGCGTGGGGTTCCAGTGTCTTGTCACATCTGAGAATCGTTGGTTGCAAAACTTTTTGTGAATCCCACCTGTGATCATTTCCACTTTCCTCCTTACATGCTGTCTTTGTGAAGCGAGGCATTGTCCTATGTGACGGACGCAATGTAAATCCAAGTTGTTGTTGCCCTACCAACCATCGTTAGTCGGGCTTTCAGCCTCCCTGCCCCCACTCTTTGGAACTCCATTCAAAGACGCTTCCTGACTCTTGAGTGTTCCCAGCGACTTCTGTTTTTGTTGTCAACCAAGGTAAAACTTGTTGCAGGAAGCTGTTTAAATCTAAGACAAGCAAGAGACTCTATTTTGGAAGATAATGTACTATATTCTATACACTCGCAATGTTAAACATAGAGCATTTATTTCACTGTGGTGCGACAAATACACACAACTATACCTACAGAATGCTAACCAAATCACAAGAAGGGCACAATTGTAATGATCTCATTGATCTCACTTAGCCTCGTCTCCTTTTTGAAATTTGTCATATGTGAAAGATGCTAATTTGTGGCTGCATAAGTGGAATAACTGACTTAACCTGGAGGCATGGAAATCTGTAGTAATCTCTTCATACCGTCCAACCTACATCAACTGAACTCAATTTCCTCACAAAGTTCCACATAGTTAGAAATTCCACAAGCTGCAATTAGAACAATTTACATTTATTTGCACAAGCGCTCACACAATCCTTCAGGGAGAAGGTGAAGGTTAACAGTTGCTTAGTTTGTGAATGGTGGTTCTATGCTCAGATAGAAAATATCAACTGGGGAGAGTAGTGCTGGTGGAAGTGGTACAGAATAGATGACTTAAGTTTAATTTGGACCTGTGCTTTAAGAATCCATTGAATAAAGCTTATTAAACAAGAAAATAGTGAAAGTCAACCTAAAATCCACGTTGTTGTCTTTAATGTATCTTTAAGGTCAGTTTAATCCAATATTCACCAGTAATACCTGCATTTCTCGGTGAATCAGTTAAAAAAGCATGGAAACAGGCCATTCAGTCCAACTAGTCATATCTGTAATGCACATTGCAGTTACAATTGATGTGCCACTGTTTGCGCTCACATGATCTGTGAATGCTGCAAAAATGCATAGACGGCTTCAGAGAGGGTTCTGTAAGTACATAATCTGCTTCAGGACACATTCAGACCTGTTGACTCCCCACACCACTACCCACCGCCTCCGCTCAGCTGGCTCTGCCTCTTGCTTGTCCCTCGTCCCCTCAGCTCCATCGGCAGCCATGCTTTCAGCCACTACGCCCCGAAACTTTGGAACTCTCTCCCTCAATCTCTCCGTCTTGCCCCATTTCCCTATTTTCAGATCACACCTGAAGACCTTCTTCTTCTACCATACTTACGGTCACCTCCCTCCTCCCTGGCTTGGTGTCTGGAGCCACCACTGTTAAGCGCTCCGAGATGCTACCCCTCATGAAGGGTGCCAGATAAGTGCAAGTTGTTGTACTGCTTGGTGCCCAGGTTGGTACCAGAATCAGTTCCATTTGTTGTTTGTGATCTGATGGAGCTGTTTGGAGTGCTCCTGTGAAAAAGTTGTGGTGTTCTTCCATTATAGTTCTGTTGTCTGGGTCCATTAGCTCAGGCCGTGTGGTATAAGTGATGCACAAAAAAAGGCTGATTTCGTAATCAGTTCACCATTAACGTAACTTCCTATGCACTGTGCAGAATCATAGCAATAAGCAAGGCAAGTTCTGTGCTGCATTCCTTTTAGGTTGGAAGTGATATTATAGCACAAAATGTCATGTTTATGGAATTTCTTAAAGAAAGTCTGGGATGGCGAATGGTGGGAACCATGTCCTGACCCCATCTAATTTTGGACCAACGGCCCCTTGAGTCTCTGCTCCAAAGTACTGCGTAATATTTACCAATACATCATTGAAGTTTATATACTGGTGGGTTTATCCAAATGGGGTATTTACAATGCTTAAGCAAACACAAGAAATACAACAAAATTCCCACACTGCTTGAGATTAGTTTGTAAAAATATACTGGAAATATTACAGATACTAGGCTTGATCTTCCATTAGCGTTGAAACACTGAAAATGTAGCTGGGTATGTAAACTAAAAGTTACGTTGCTGCGTCTAAACATCAAACTTCCATGTTTCATACATTTGAAGGTACATTACACAGCACAAGTGGGTCTGCTGTGGCCCTACCAAGGTCAGGATAACACAATCAGCCACTGAGCAGTTGTTTAGAAGCAGTTAAGCCACCGCTCTTTTGTTAAAACATTGTAAAACAACATCTCATAAAGTAGGACATTGCATTGCAGAAGAATCTCAGCACATCTCCCAAATATATCCTCAAATGAAAATTAATGTTAAAACTATCATTTTTTGTGGGACATTACTAATGCAGATTAAATGCTTATAAAACATTCACATCATCTTTTGATCAATTGTAATGTGCAAAGCACCTTTAGNTTTTTTTAACATGAAAGGCACTCTGTAAATACAAGTTACTATTAAAATAAATGCCAAAGCTAGACATTTTTATCTGCTTTTTTAGGACACCTTAGAGGAGTTTTCATATTAAACAGAGTAAGTATCCTGAAATATCATGACAGAGCTTATCAATATATATTTTTGATGAAAGCACTTTTCTGTTTTTCACAAAGTGAGTTTCTCCCCACACCCTTATGTGCATGCCACCCTGGCCAACGGGCTGGATTAGCCAAATACAATCAAGTTTCTGCAAGATCGGTTTGAAACAGTCTTCTAAGAATACACAAAAGACTGAAAATGAGTCAGGTTTGTATAATTGCACAGGTGTGTACAGTGGAACACCTTAGCTTTACATAAGATTTAACTAATATAGTATTTAAACTTTTTTTCTGCTAATATGAGTCAATTCCATTCATTGAAGTCATCCGAAAAATTACAGATATTTACTATAATTTAATATAATGAATATTAATGGTTCTGGGTTGCGTGTTTTGGGAAGGAATGAGGTTTGACTGTAACATTATAATGTTGCATACAGACAGGCACAGGAATGTTAGTCCAGCATATGTGCATTGCTTCATGAAGTATGTATTGTATGAAGTTATTGAAAACATGCCAACTATAGTGACTCCAGCTTCATCGTTTTGTAGCTGAGATAAAATGGGTTAAACCTGTGTGTGTGTTTTAAGGAAAGTCTGAAAAAACACAATAGGCTCTTACAGAAATTCTCTTATTAACGGGTCACTAGTTATCTGGAAACTTTAAGAAATAAGCTGATAAATTCTAATTCTTCTAAGTGAATAAAGACTGAATAAAAAATAAACACACTGTACATCTGTTTTTCATTGTAGTTCTGAAGAACCAGTGTCAATGGGGATATATTTTGAAAGCCAACTCATCACAACAGCAGAGTTTCAGTGACTTTAATATCAACAAGTTAGTGACTTGTTGATATAAATGCATTGTCAAACTTTGTTTTAATAAAATTAGGGCAAAAGTACGGAGACTGCAAGGACATTATTTGCTCTAACCACAGTATCTGTTGCATTGTCAGTTTGACGTGGTCACATGGGAACTGAGCTTTTCTTCACGTGTGCTACTATAGAATCCCAATTCATTTGCTTATTCCCTCCTATACTTTACTTCCTTTCTTGACGAATCAAATGTTGGTGTTTAAGGTTTTTCACTGAATTGATCATCACGTGGAAGTCTAAAAGCCTGTAAAGGATGAAATCCTGAACGAATCACACCAACTCCATCCAATCCACTGGAATGCATGATGTTGAATGATACTATCTGGGAGAATTACGTAGATTCAATATATTCTTTCAAATGAAGTATGTTTATTATGGGCAGATATATACGGTAGCTCGAGTATTCAGCCAGCAGTGTTAAGCGTTTTGAGAAGTCACCTCGACATGAAAGGCGCTATATACAAGTAGATTGGAATTTAATGCCACTGATTTTGATGTCACAATGTCGACATTAATGGATTGTCAAACAAGTGGTACTCCATTGCTTTGCTTTCTTTATTTAACAGCTTTCGGAGGGATTTACACTCTTCTTGTGTTGTAAATCATCTTAGTTACTTTTATGCCTTTGGTTACCAAGCCTACAAGCTAAATGTTTTTGCTAAAGAAAGCATGTTAGTCTTGCAGAAGAGGGAGATTAGGCAGGTGAGGAACACCATAGCTCAATCATAAAATGTAGCTCAATCATTTTCCAGTGCTTTAACATCCACCCGACGTGAAAAGTGCTGTACAAATGTAATTTGTTGTTGCTGTTATTGTAGAACCATGAAAATTTAAGGCACAGAAAAAGGCCGTTCAGCCCATTGTTTTTGTCTGTCTTCTTTAAGAGCAATCCTTTTAGCCCTATTTTCCTGCCTTTCCCAATATCGCTGTAGTTGATTCCTTTATCTAGCATTTATCTAATATTGGTGTAATTCCCTTTTGAAAGCCAATATAGATTCTGCCTCAACCAGCAATCCCGGCAGGGCATTCCAGGTCCGAATCACCCTGTGTGTGAAAGAAATTCTCCTACTCTCCCCATTTACTTGTTAATTATGTTAAATTGGTGCTCTCGAGTCACTGACCAGTGGAAATCATTTCTCCCGATTGAATCTATCAAAACCACTCAAAATTATAAAGGTCATTTGTTATAGCAAAAAAAAATCTAACAGAGCTATTCACATAAGAGAATTGGCTGCTGAAGGCCTTGTTGGCCCATTTAATTTGAGCCTTTTCCAGCACTGAGCTGAAGAAGAGCTCTAGCCTGGGATTGCATTCTACTAACTTGGCATCAACAAGTCATTTGTGGATAAAAAGATATCTTCTGTGTCATTGCTTAACCTGGGTTCAAATAATGTAACAAATAAAGAAAAGATCAGTTCAAAAATGCTATGTGATCCCCAAGATGAGATCTATGTATTATGTATAATATATATTGTGGGAACAGATTTGTTATTTCTGCAGATGGTAGACATTCTGTACAATTGACGTATGATGACATCCTAACTGAAAGACATAACATAATCATTGCAAATTGACTGTGAGATTATCTAGAGCAGATTGCCAGAAAATAGCAGTCGGTAGATAATGACAACATGGAGTCATAACAAGGTTTCAGGAGTTTTGTTAACTTTTTAAACCGTGGCCGTGAAGTTTAAGTCGTTTATAACTGTCATCTGAATTCTTGGACAAGATGTAACTTTAAAATTTTGGGGGGAGGGGTATCTGTTATTATTTATATAACAGACTGGAAAGATCATGACAAGTGGCCTTGTTCTGTTTCCTTCAACTGTCATGGGAAATGATATGGTCAATGAATCCCACGCCTCACAAAATGAATCCATTCACACTAAAGGATTAATGAATGTGATGTGACCACTTTGCCTGTTGCATGTTAAGTAACAGTTCATTACCAATAACATTGGTTCTTGGGGATGAACAATGCTACAATTTGTCCTAGGAATGACAAATTCAGATTCATTAAATCAAGTGAGAATGTGAGGTTGTGCACTATGAAGGGAATTTTCCAACAAGATGTGGATAAAAGTGCTCAAACTTATTTCAGTTTTAAAACTCTTAACAGCTGTTAGAGAGAGATTTTATCCTCTGTATTAGGCAGATTGGACTTGAGGTTTAGCTGAAACTACAAAAGCAAACAGATAGCTAAATGCCCTGAGTCTTTTACAGGCGTGAATACGCTAACAAACATCCTTTACTTTCATAGTGGAAGTGAAGTTTAGTTCTCTGCACATTCAGAGACTTCTCATTAAATATTTCTCACCAGAGTATACACCTTTTGTTATTGTGAACCGGCACTATCAAGGTGGTTCAGTTCCCAACTCCTCTGCTCACACATTCTGCTTGGCTATCTTAGGCTTGCTGTGTGTCTCCCATTCTATTAGCGTCACCATCAGTGCCCGAACTTTAGGATTCCGTGGCCCTTACCTCTCAAAATCTGGAAGGGAGTTTCTCCAGATATCCTGGCCAAGAATCCCCAAATTAAAAACAATTGGTGATTCACTCTATGGCTGTTTGTGGGACATTGCTGTGTGCAAATTGGCTACCACATTCACCCCAAAATACACACAGTCACACCACGTTACACTATATACTGTGAAATTCTTTGAGACATCTCAATGATGGGATAAGGCGCTATATCAAACATGAGGATTATTATTAACCTCCACTCCTCTGCCTCGTCCCCCTTTGCCTTCAAGTTCTACCATAAAATCTATCTGTTCAGCCTCTATATCTATACGGTCACTTCTCCCTTCCTCCTCTTTCCTGCTCGGTGTCTGACCCTGCCACTGTAAGGTGTTGTGAGACATTATCCTATGTGAAGGACTTTATTTAAATGCACATTTTTGTTGTAGTAGCCTTGTGAGAGGCATGGAATCACAGAACTATACAGCACAGAAGGAGGCCATTCAGCCAATTAAGTCTGCACCAGCTCTCAGAGCATTGGCAAGAGAAGAGGAGCAATAGACTTGAGTTTATCATATACTGGTCATTAAAAGTACTCTCTTTATACTTTGGGTATAACAAGTCCTTTCAATGGGATTTCACATTCTAAAAGTGCAATAAAAACATCTGTACTTTTAGTTATTGGCTTTTGACTAGAAGCCCACTCCCCCATCCTAGATTTACAGAAATATAATAAGCACACTATTAAACAAATAACTTCCCTTAAGAAAAACATTTTAGGGTAGTGAACAAATGAAAAATATTGTGTTTTTAAACAAAATGGATAGCTTTAATCTAATTTAGCTCCATCTTGAATACTTTAGCAAGGAAACTAAATATAGTCCAAACTGTTAATGCAATCACCTTTATTCAGCGACCATCTCCTGCCAACAACCAACAACAACAACAACAAGATTCCATTTATAGAGCGCCTTTCACGTCGGGAGGACGTCCCAAGGCGCTGGACAGTTGGGTCAGGACCCGAGCCGTGGGGGGAAAATGGTCAGGGTGAGGGGATGGTGCGAGGAGGGGGGAAATGGTCAGGGTGAGGGGAGGGAAGGGAGGGAGCGAGGAGGGGATAGAGAGTCGAGAGGGGAGCTGAAGGCACGGTCAAAGAGAAAGGTCTTGAGACCGGTCTTGAAGGAGGAAAGTGAGAAGCAAGGCGAAGGCACTGGGGGATAGAGTTCCAGAGCCTAGGGGCCCAGCCACCGATGGTAGGACGGATGGGGCGGGGGATGTGGAGCAGACCGGAGCCAGAGGAACGGAAGGTACAGGCAGGTAGGTAGGGGGATAGTAAGCCGGAGAGGTAGGAGGGAGCAAGACCATGCATGGCCTTGTAGGTGAGGATGAGGATCTTGAATTCGATCCTCTGGGGGATGGGGAGCCAGTGGAGGCGAGCGAGGGTGGGAGTGATGTGGTCGCGAAGCCTGGTGCAGGACAGTACACGAGCTGCAGAGTTCTGAATGACCTGCAGCTTGTGGAGGGAGGTGCCGGGAAGGCCGGCGAGGAGAGAGTTCCCATAATCCAGCCTTGAGGTGATAAAGGCGTGGACCAGAGTTTCAGCAGCGTGAGGGGTGAGGTAGCGCTGTAGTCTGGCGATGTTCCAGAGGTGATGGAAGGCGGTGCCAGTTGTGGCGCGGATATGAGGAAGAAAGGACAACGTCACACTGAGCAGCCTATGTGATGCCCACAGCTTCCCAATGAGACGGCATTGGTAAATGTGCCAGAAGCCTAGAGGGAGTCTACACACAAGCGCACCAGAAATCTTGTGAAGAATTTTTTGGCCCTGGTCAAAGAACCAATGAATCCTTATTCAGAGGCCACCCTTACATAAAGCCCCTTTGGTCCAGTCCCATGAATGGTTGTTGAAAATGTCTGTACTTCGTAATCTTTGTGCTAAAGATCATTTCAAAAAATGCTGTAATAATAAGTGATGTTACTCAAGTAGAAACTCCATTAAAGTTTGCAGCAGTTGGGAACAGCCTAAAGTTCAGTGTCTTCTTCTTCAAACACAGAAAAACTGTTTATGTTTTATTAAGCCAAAGTAATGATAATGAACAGCTGTTGTGTACACTCACTTCATATTTTCCTTTCTTCTCCCGTGGTTCCACGTGAGCGTCCTTGCCCTCTGTTGCAACTTGCTCACTGGCTTCAACTTCCAACTCTTCCAGTACCAGGACTGTTTCGCACTTGTTGTAGTTGTGAGCAGGGAATATATCTGAACGCATGCTGTCACCAAAGTAAACGACCTGTAGGTTAAATACCAGAGATCACTTCAAACCAAGACGAGGCCAGGGGAAAAGCTATACCATATCAAATAGCAAAGTATTAAAAAGGGGGCAAGCAAAAAAGTTATTCAATACTCAATTGATTGATCAGGAAACACAAAGTCCCTTTTTAATGTAAATCTGGCTACAACGCTTTTCAATGCTTTGTCATTGGAATGCCTGGTTGATACATTTTTAGGGTTAAAGATCACAAAAGCTGATAATTAATCTCCGGATTATGAAGTTCAAAAAGTTCAAAACTTTACTTAAACCAGATAAAACTGAAGCCACAATATTGTCTCCAAAAATCACCTTCGGTTGGCTCTATGAAGAGAACAGCTTTTTAATGTTAATCATAACACTTTTAAAAAAGGAAAATCTCCATCAAAAAGCCTTGTATTTGGTGAAGTTATCAGCATCCTCAAACCTCAATCAGAGCTCGGTAAAAGGTGGGTGACTTCACTCTATCACCCAACATAATTAAGTTAAAGTGTTGTGGAAACTGCTCTTTTCAGTTTCACATCATCATAAATGTACTTATATTAAAAACTATTCCAATGTTTTAAGATTTAAAAAAGCAAATAGCCACTAAGTAAAACAATTGAAATCTTAGGAGACGCTATGGTGGCTTCAACAATGAGACATGGATTTGATACCACACCACAGATCTGACAATTAGAGTGGTTTGACATTGAGAAGGACACTAAGAAGGAAAACTGTCCCACGGCCAATGTTGTGTGCCTCTTAGTGGGCATCCCATAGTGGAGTATATGTGGGTCCTGGAAGCAGGTCAACTGCTCACTGATTTAGTTGCTGCATGTGGGTAGCCTGGGGGCACTGAACAAAAACAATCAATCTCTTGAGAAATGCACCGTATGTAATGCATGGCCTGTAAAAATTGCCGCAATGAACTAGAAAATAAGTAATGTTGGTTGATCAAATCAGTTTCTCTTTATAAGATACAGTAGAAATACATTGAATAATCCACAAGAAGAGAAAAAGTAGTCTAGTTTGAGCTAACAGATCTAATCTAGTTCAGGAACACAGCAGAAACATACATTCCAGTTCTTGTACTTAGGTATTCCAATGACAAAATAGTAAAACCAAATTGAGGAAGATACACAACGCAAACAGTTCACATTTCTCCTGCAAGTAAAAAACGGGAATACATTTTCAGATAATCAAGCTACAGATAAGCAGGAGGATGAAGGATTTAGTGAGCTTTGAACATGTGTAGATTTTAACAACTGACTCAACAAACAGTTCACCTTGAGAATTGCAACTTTTCTGTTGGTTTCCTATGGTAGAAAGAGGCAGGCCAGCCTGTACCCGGAGCACGTCTCTGACCTTAAAGTCCGAGGATCAGTCTGTGGTATACTGGAAGGGTTTCTAATTCTGTATTGACTTCATCCCACACACTATGTGGTGTGGGATGAAGTAATCAAACTGTGCTCTGCAATCATATTACATATGTTCACAAATAAATTCAAGCAAAATATCAAAGAGGCATCATGCAACAGGTTGATTACCCTCAAAGTATGTTGAACTTGTACTCCCACATAAACTATATCCATCAGCATGTATTGCCAGAAGCCTTGATACAGTACTCAATAGCCAGTACACACGAAACAAGATCTTTTTTGTTACAATTAGTAAGAGAACAAAAGCTCCTGTTGTTGAAAACAGTGTTGCTTCTGTATCTTGTAAAGACTTAGAAGAAGGAAGTGTTAGGAAGAAGTACAGATAGGGAAAAAAAGATCTTGCCAATAATGTCCTCAAAGCTAGGAGTGTTTAATATCTTAACAGTAAGCAATATAACAGCATGGTAGTGTGTACTGCAGGGTATTATACAACAACTGCTTGCACTTACATAGCGCCCTCCACGCAGGATAGCGTCTCAGAGAGTTTAACAATGGCGGAGCCTGACTCCAAGCCGGGGTGGGGGCGGGGAAAGAGGAAGGTTTTCAGTGGAACTTGATAAAGGGGAGCGAGGGGGCAAGGCAGAGGGATTGAAGGAGAGTGTTCCAGAGGTTTGGGGCATAATGGATGAAAGTACGAACTCCAATGGTGGAGTGAAGAGTGCGAGGGACAAGCAGGAGGCCAGTGCCAGTCGAGTGGAGGCGTTGGGTGGTGGATTGGGGAGTGAAGAGGTCAGAGAGGTAGGCAGGTGCCAGAGAGTGAAGAGATTTGAACAAGTGTGAGGGTATTGAAGTCGATCTGTTTGGTAATGGGGAGTGAGTGGATCCTGGCCAGAACTGGTGAGATGTGGGTACGGTGTTTGGTCCGGGTCAGTACATGGGCAGCAGAGTTGTGAATGAGCGTTTATCTTTTGATTAGTGAAGCTGGAGAGACCAGCGAGGAATGCTGTTTGAGTAATCCAAGCAGGATGCAGCAAACACATGCACAAGGGTTTCGGCTGCATTTGGGGTAAGGTACGGTTGGAGGCGGGCAATGTGGCAGAAGTGGAAGAAGGCGGTCCTGGTCAGGGACCGGATGTGGGGGATGAAGGACAGCTGGGGGTCAAACTGGACACCTAGATTGCACACAGGTTTGGTGAGTCTGAGTTAGAGCCCAGGGCGGTTGCAGAGTTTAGGTCCACAGGAGTGAAAGCATTGACGGGAGCCAAAGAGTATGGCTTCAGTCTTGTCCATATTCAGCCTCAGGAGGTTTGCACTCATCCAGGCCCTGATGTCTGCCAGGCAAGCTGATAGGACATTGGAGGATCTGGAGTTGGTACTGGAGGAGGCTAAATAGATTTGTGTGTCATCCGCATACATGTGGAAGTTTACCTTGTGTCTGCGGATCATCAGCCAGAGGGAGCATATAGATAAGGAAAAGAAGAGGGCCAAGGATGGAGCCCTAGGGTACCCCACAGGTGACCTGGCCGGAGTGGGAGGAGAAACCATTTGCTAAGATGAAATGGAGGCGGCTGGTTAAGTAGGACTCGAACCATGCGTGTGTGGTCCCAATAAGGTGGACGAAGGAGGAGACGCAGTGGAGGAGGATGGTCTAGTCGACTGTGTCGAACGCGGCACAGAGGTCCAGGAGGACGAGGAGGCAGAGGGTGCCCTGGTCACAGATAGAGGGAATGTCATTTGTGACTTTGACAAGCGCTGTCTCTGTGCTGTGGGCAGGGTGAAAACCAGACTGCAGGGGCTCGAGGAGGGAGTGGAGGGAGAGATGTGACCGAAGTTGATCTGTCACAATGCGTTCCAGGACTTTGGCAAGAAAGGGTAGTTTGTAGATGGAATGGTAGTGTGGGAGATTAGAGGGATTGAGGGTGGGTTTTTTCAGGAGGATGTGGCACTTTCTGATTGGATTCTTTAATAAGGAAACGGAAGCACATTATATCGAGCTTATAAATACTTCGACATAATTGCCTTTTAGAGTGGTCAGAGTGACATGTGTGATGGAACTCTCAGTCTACTTTGAATACCGTTGAGCATGGTGGTGGGTTTGCAGATGCTTGAGACAACCATCTGCCACAACCGCCCCTCACCCTCCAGTATCTTAGTGTATTTGTCTTTCATTTGATTCTCCGTCTTTCTCATTCGTGTCATTCTGACCATCTCTCCTTCCACCACCCACCAGCCCCCAACCCAGTGTAAAATGTGGGATGCCTCTGACACAAAATGAAACTAATTGCTTCAAAATCTGATGGACTTGTGAGTGTAGTCATAACACATGATATACTCATTTTATCTCTGCACCAGAATATTTCCTGGATGAGCCAACATTTTAAAATTCAAAACAAATGGCATTTGATTTTAAAAGCTGCATGTAAAAGTGTGTGTGGTATAAACAAAACACTAATGAAGACAAGTGTGAATTAGAGGAAATAGACTCTAAAAATTGTGAGTGGTCAGCGCTCCGGGTTTATTTTTCTTCAGGTACTGTTTCCTGATGTATATCCAACTGCATTTGCTGATTAGCAGTGACATACATATCAGTCTAAACAGGATGGAGTTATTTACAATATGTTGTTCTGAAGATCTCCCACCTCTTAATGACTGCAAAGCAGGAGGGTCGGATTAGACCATTTTAAAGGTTGATGCAAATAACAATCTGCCATCTGTGGCAGAGCAGAAACACTGCATATGCTTTGGTCTGTGACTGTAACTCTAGCCCACACATGGATGCATCAGTGAAAAGAGGCATTAATAAGATTACATGTCACGAGCTTCTGTTCAGTTCAGATCCCCCCCGATTCAAAACTGAAAGTGAGGTGACAGCTTAAACATAGTTTAAGAATGTAGCACCTATCCATGATGTGAATGTGATACTCCAGCAAAAGACAAAATGTCAGTTTGTTCGTCATCTGCTTTTTCCGGGAGAACGCTCTAAGTTCTTCCCAGTTCTGCTACCAGCCCAGACCTGGGACTGTTCCAACATTCTTTCCCTGTGTATTGTGACACCACATTATTATTGCCAACAGCAGAGATGTCTCATAATTGGAAACAAACTACTGGGTACACACACACATGCTCCCAAAAGCAGGCAGATTTCAGTTTAAGAAAACCAGAAGAATTGCTTTTATAAAGAGGGTGCATTATTCCTGCGTAAGTCTAGCAGTTAACTGCGTTACTGTGGTGGGCTGATGCTGAGGCCATTCTCTTAGCATTTGTGGACAGACTGAATCTGCCTAATTAATATGCAGCATGTTACATTTTATTTGTTTGCCCCGCTCCCTGGCAGCCATTCTGTACCACAATTAAGCGATCATTCTTCATTTGAAAGGATTCACAATGAGTGTCGACAGGCTATTCTACCATCGAGGCATCATATCTAAAACAACCCTGTACTCACCCGATAGTGAGCCCCTCCCCCCATCCCCCCAACCCCGACACTTTCAAGATGGGTGATTACTGGATTGGAATCAAAATGGGAACCCTGGCTCATGGGTTCTGAGGCCAATGTAAAACTCCCACGGCTGAGATCAGCTAACTTAGCACAAATTCTTGTCTGAAACCAGCCACTCGGCT